CGTCCTCTTAACAATACATTTACGAGGTGTATAATTTATTAATATCGTTTTTCGTTCGGAATGTTTTGTGACAGCAGCTAGTGATCGGCTTCTCATTTCGTTAAAAACTAAGTATAATCTTTCGGGAGAGCATTTTTCGTTATTTTCTACAACTCTTCACTTGTAGGGTGTACGATCGACGCCAACATTACCTGCGTTTGAATTCGTCGATCTGTTAAAAAAAGTATTCTGAAAACTGCGATCTGTGTCCCAGCGGTCGACTTATCATTTATATACAATAAATATATAATGTAAACTTAGACAAGAGTACGAGACGTCCATAATATTGTGTATGTATTTATAGACGATGGCATAAARCGGCGCCGGCGAGAGATTTTGCGGGGCCCGGGGCAGATTTTTTTCATGGCACGTCATAGAACTTATTCGTTGGAAATTTGTTTTCGATTTTATTTAATACTATTACCTATATGRGAATTGATGTGTGCATAACCAATTACATTTTTTCATCGAATTATTCTGTAGTACGTCGCAAGTCGYGCGTATAGCGATTTTGATTTATTTTTATTCTCATAATCTCATTCGTTTATTATAAATTATAATATTATTATATTCCGATTTCCGATTATCAGCTGATGACGTTCTTCGATCATTATCGTACATTTTTTGGTAAGTATTGAACGCAGGAGCTATTTRAGAGCGATTCAATACACGAAACTACACTTATACGCAACTTATAAAGCTTGGCTGGTTTCCTAATTTAAATAAAAAAAAAAAAAAACGTTTTTCTAATTTAGTAGATATTAATAATATTATATTCATCATAATATGTTTATTGTATAATTGTCGAAACGAATGGTTCTCACCAAGTTTCTTAAATAAAAAAATAATAATAAWAAAAGCAACGCTAATTCGGGTGTCGGGCGATGTGTCGACAGATACAACTTTTATCATACAAACAACAGATTTCGATGACGAGCACATTCGCGATATCGTGAGTACACACAGATTGCAGAGAACGACGATCGTGAGGCGCGCGCKAGCGGATTAACAAAAGTTGCGCACCACACAGTCGATCGGGCGAGAACAGAGACTTCGACGAGTTAGTTGACTGCAGAAATGCGAATACGAAATCGAYGCATCACGAAAAGGCTACGTCGAGCCAAACGAAAGAGGCGAGGTCGGTAGCGAAATAGAAAGAGCCGTGCGCGACTGTTCTCCGCGGAGCAAACTGCAGGTGCGTCGGTCGGTAACGAATATACAACGACACAAAAACGGCGGTGCGAAATTCGGTTGGACGTCGACGAATTGGACTGCGTGTACGCGTGATGGCCGGTAAGTGGATGCTCTCATGCGATTAATGCGATGCTGATGGTTTGGGTCGATCGATGGAAATCCGGCCACGCCGCGCGTGATAGTCTCATGCGATTAATGCGATGCTGATGGTTTGGGTCGATCGATGGAAATCCGGCCACGCCGCGCGTGATGGACAGTTCGCGTTGCACTTATTGAATAACGTCTTCCCCGGCATTCGACGAGTACGACGAGTGGGCGCTCGTAACGTGGTTGGACCGGTGGTCGGACAGCGTCGATCTGGACAAACACGTCGTGAMTGACCCGGCTCTGCAGGTCGGTGGACGCAAACGTAGTGCGTTGAGTGGCTCCGAGCTATCTCGTGGAGTCTCGCTACGCAGCTACCAGCTCGGGCGGTCGTGGTTCGTGGGTTGAGTGATGAGGAGTCTGAGCACGATGGTGCCGCGTACCAAATTGGCCGAAGCTTGATCGACGTCGTCGGGCGCTTTGACTGTGTTGCGCAGCGCGAGTAGTTTTATACGATGATAAGCGTCTTGGCTGATCTGCACTGCAGAGGTGATTCGTKTGCGTGGCTAGAGGATCGTAATACGCGCGGTGTTCAAATGCGCCGGATGATGCCGAAAAGGTGATCATCAAAAGTGCAGATTTGAACAGATCCTACTCGAACCGTCGGCCTTGGTCGGTGATGGCGGTGATGCCATCCAGTGCGTTATTGTTAAGATCTGCTAGACTGCGTAGGCAAACATCAGCCAGTCTGCCACTGACCGCTGACGTTCTGTTCGAGACGGCTTACACGGCGATATTTGTCTCGGTGCTCAGTCGCGCTGTATCGGCGAGCAGTCATCGGAACCTGGTTGCGCGGTCACCGTCCACTGCGGTACAGTGGACCGTCCTGTTTATTGATCTTGTAGTTCGCGGGCCGCATCGGGAATAAAACGATGAGTTCCTGGAGTTCAGTGAACCGATAGAACATATGTATATATATTTAATTCGTAAACAAATTTATAGGCTTACGAATARTTACGAATCATAAAATGCGATGAAGAGCGTGGGCAGCTGGGGCAGCTGTCGTAATAAGTTGGATACCTACAATTAATTCTCCAGCTCTAATTTATACAGCGAAAATCTGGGGAAGTGATATCCCTTTCCCCTTCGGAACGGCCTATAGGTTTTGAGCCGATTATTTTTGTAAAATTGAACTTGTTTTGTTTTGCGCTTAAAATATATTCTATCATTATTTAGAATTCTTCTCAATAATAAAAACAACCTACCTCATTAGCTATTACTTTTAACTATATAAATATAAATTATCGATTGCGATATAAAAATATAATCAAATACTCGCAGTAATAAA